TCTATTTTTTTAGTTCTTTATATATTCTGGATATTAATCCTCTGCAGGATATGTAGCTGACAAGATTCTCTCCCACTCCGTGGCTTCCTCTTCGCCTGGTTGTTGCCCAGGTTGTGCAGAAGCGTTTTACTTTCATGAGTCCCACTGTTCAGTTGTCTTCCTGAGCCCCTGGACAAAGGAGTCTTCTTCAGAAAGGCCTTACCTGCACCTGCGTCTTTAGGATCCAGCTTGTATTTTCTTCTAGCAGTTCCGGTGTTTCAGGTTTTACATTGAGGTCTTTTATTCATTTGTACTTAGGTTTAGTGCAAGGTGATAGATATGGGTCTAATTTTATTCTTCCGCATGTGAGCATCTAGTTTTCCCAATATCATTTGAAGATGCCGTTGTTTCTCAGTGTATATTTTTGGTATCTTTGTCAAATATCATATGGCTATATTTATATGTTTGAGTTTTTTATTCTGTTCCTTTGGCCTACACATCTGTTTCAGAGCCAGCAACGTACTGTTTTTATTCCTATACCTCTGTAATATATCTTGAAGTCTGGGGATGGTAATCTCTCCAGTATTGTTCTTTTGCTCAGAATTGCTTTGACTAGCCCGTGTCTTTTGTAGTTCCAAATAAATTTTAGGATTTTTTTTTAAATATTTCTGTGAGTAATGAGATTGGAATTTTTTATCGGGATTACACTGAATCTGTAAATTGCTTTTGACATAATGGTCATTTTCACAATTTGAATTCTACAATCCATGACCATGGGCTGTCTTTTCATTTTTAGTGTCTTTCTCAATCTCTTTCTTCAGAAAATTAAAGCTTTCCACTGTAGAAAGCTTTCCTCCGCCTCCTTGGTTAGAGTTATTCTCGGGTACCCTGTTTCCTTTAAAGCTGTTGTGAATGGGAGCGTGCATGTGACCTCTTTCTCAGAGTTTGTTGTTCGTACATAGAAAGGCTATTGATTTGTACACATTTATTCTATATCCTGCCGCTTTGCTGAAATTGGTAATCATTCTAGAGTTCTCTGGTGGACTTTGTGGGATCTCTTAAGTATGACATTTCATCTGCAGATAGAAATAATTTAACTTATTTTCTTATTTGTACCCCTTTAAATTTTTTCCTCTTGCTTTATCGCTCCAGCTAAAGCTTTGTGAACTATATTGAAAAAGAGTGGGGATGGTGGCCAGTCATAACTCATTCCCAGTTTTAATGGCATTGCTTCAAGTTTTTCTCCGTTTAAAGTGAGGTTAATGTGCATTGTCATATATAGCCTTCATTATGCTGAGTTATGTTCTCTCCAGTCCTACTCTCTGTAGGATTTTTATCACAAAGGTATATTGAATTTTGCTAAAGGCCCTTTCTGCATCTATTGAAATGATTCATGTGATTTTTGTCCTTAAGTTCACTTACGCTATTTATTAAACTTATTGACTTGTGTATATTGAACCATCTCTGCATCTCTGAGATAAAGCCAGTTTTATTGTGTGGGTAATTCTTTTGGTATATGCTTATATGTGGTTTGTTAGCAGAGTCTGTTTTTAATGAAGCCTCCTGCATCTCCCTCTCCTTAGTTCTGACTATGCTTGAGCTATGGTGAGGGCTGCAGCTAATGCTTTCTTCTTCTGACTTTTGCATGTTTAAGAACTGAGGTGATGATGGGAATTAGGGCCCAGGCTGTATTGTGGGTAAGTTTTCTCTTAAATCCTCCATTCTTCTTTAGCTCTTGAACCCCATCCTTGTCTTCAGAATTTGGGTCCCTTCTGTGAGGTTTCCTGGGTTTTGAGTGCTTATTATCATCGTGTGTCTTTTGCAGACTCCATCTCTCTAAGAGGAAGTTCTGTGCCCTCAGGATCCTAATCCGACCTGTGAACCGCTTCCTTTCTCAGTTTGCCTTCCACCTCTTGTCTGGGGTTTTTTGTTTGTTTCTATCCATGTTTTCTTTTCTGAGCTGCCTGGCGAGTTACTGGATCATGTTCCCAGAATCTGGATTTGACAGAGACTTTTACTGTCTGGGGGACCAGCCTCCAGCAGTGCAGGGCCCAAAGGGAATCTACTGACTCAACAAGTACTATGAGTTTTGTATCTGAGGGGCTTAGGAAAGGCAGTCACACACGCTCTTGATGGTTTCCTTCAGGCCTTTCCTTTATTCTTCTTTTGCATTTTCTATTCTTTATTTTCCTGGTGATTTCCTTCTCACATTCTTGATGCTTTCCTTCTAACGCTTTCATTCTTGGTGTTTTCTCGTTTTAACTATTATCTTTATTCTTTTTCTTTTTTTTATACACCCCAGAAAAGTCTTTCAGGCAATATAACAATTACCATGTGGTTATATTCTGTTTTTCAAGTGAATGATTGCAATGAATACAAATATAAAGCAGCGTGGTTTCCGTGTCCCTTACACCTCCCAACATTGAGATTAGAAGAATTTCAACTAACTGGGCTACTGAGACTCAATTGTTTTTCTTAATCATTAACCCAAGCCACAGTCTGCATGGCTCCTCAATAGAAACCCATGTTTCTAGCTGGGTGACACTTCCTTGTTTTATTTTTTTATCATCAAAGCTCTGTGTAAACTAACATTATTATTATTATCAATGAGTCAGTACAGCTTAGGAAGAAATCATCTTCATAATAATCCACAGGTAAAAATGCCCAGCAGAACAGGCATTTTCAGAATCCATGAGATAAACACACACATTACAGGGAGTGGGGCTCCCCCCACACCATTCACACCATGCCAGACACCAGAGAAAGTGGCAGCGGCAAACATGGAAAGACACTCTGGAGTCTGTGGTCTCGGGGCCTTACCCAGCCGAGGTTCACTCATGGGGGTTTTCCTCCTGGTGGGCTGACACCACTGCTCCTCTGACATGGCCACCGGCAGGCGACCCTGTCTCCGACTGGTTATTGTTGTGTCTGAGACTGCGCAGCTGTTGCTGTCAGCTTTGGCTCACTCGTCCCCTGCTCTCACACATAGACTGGATCCTCAGTGTGCGCTCCTCCTGCTTTGGACTTGCAGAACACTGGAGTGTGACATCTTCGTGGTGACATCTAATGAGAATAGTTTGTTGGGACTCATCGGCCAGGACCTCATGCTTTTTCTTTTCTATTTAATAATTCTTTTCATACAGAATGTTTTGATCATATTCTCCCCCCTCCCCAGCTCTTCTCAGCTCTTCCTCACCTCCCTACTCTCCCAACAGCATGTTTTCTCTCTCAAAACAGAACCAGTGAGACAAAAGAATTACACAATGAAGCATGGCGCCTGTTTTGTGTTGGCCAGTTATTCCTGAGCATGGCCCTGGAGTGTGGCTGATACACCCCGTTACCTCCATTGGAGAGAACTTATTTTCTCTTTTCCAGCAGGTGTCAATTGCAATAACTTCTTCCTTAGGGGTGGGACTGTATGTCCGCATCCCCTTCTCAGTGCCAGGACTTTGTCTGGTTTAAGCCTGTGTAGGTCTTGTGTGTGTGTCACAGCCCCTGTGTGTTCTTATGCAACATGCAAAGGTGCAGTTTTTGATTGGCCAGCAGGACCTGCTGTGTTTGTTTCTTTCTGAGTAGCAGCTTTCTTTACCTGTGGTCTTTTAGTTTTTGTATATTATTTTAAGAACTGTGGACCAGGCAGAGATGGTACACATCTTTAATTCTAGCACTTGAGAAGCAGAAGCAGGTGGATCTCTGTGAGTTTGAGGCCAGCCTGGTCTACAATATGAGTTCCAGGACAGCCAGGGCTGCATAGTGAAACCCTGTCTGGGGGGGAGGGGACGACAAACAAACAACAACAAAATGAAAAAATAAACAAACCCTAAACTGTGGTTTGGGCACTACTGGCCCTCTGTTTCTGTTCCTGCTTTGATAACAGAGCAGTGCTAAGACCTGCCCTGGATGCTTCAGTGCATTCCATAGTCATAACTTTACAGTATTTGTCAGCCTGGAAGGTGTTAAAGTAAGGTGTAGGAAAAGAATGATTGAACCCATAACTCAGGTACGGGGTGCTGGCATCAGCAGATAATAGGTGTAAATGGAGGTTTCTCTCCCACCCACCAGTTCCTGAATAACCACAAAGAGACTTAATATTACTTATAAATGCCTGGCCGATGGCTCAGGCTTATTACTAGCTAGCTCTTACGTTTAAATTAGCCCATATTTCTTATCTATGCTTTGCCATGTGGTTCGTGGCATATTACCTCATTTTCTACATGTCTTGCTTCCTTGGCGACTGGCTGGCTGCATCTCCCAGACTACCCTTCTCCTGTATCTCTGCTTGGACTTCCTGCCTCTCTCTATCCTGCCTTACCACAGGCCAAAGCAGCTTATTTATCAACCAATGAGAGCAGCACATATTCACAGCATACAGAAAGTCCATCCCACAGCAAATAGGTGTACTCTGTGGAAACAGGCTGCTGAACAGACATGATGGGGTGGGCAAGGTGTAGTCCAGTAGGGCTTGGATGGGCTGTTGTCAGCAATTATCATTGGTATATAGAGGTAATTGCCAACTGACTGGGTTTTCCTGAACATGTGGGTAACAGGTAACCAGACAAGTGGAAATTGGGATTGATCTGTACCAGAAACGCTTCATGCTCATTTAGGAGATTTGGAAGGAGCATAAATGCCCCAGGATTCTTTTTTCTGGGGAATAAATAGCTCTGTTTCTGTGAAAGCTTGACATTCTGCTTGGCTAGCGTATGACCCGTAGCACCAGCCTGACACTGAGTAGGCCTTTGTTTGTTTGCCGACTTCTATAGGTTATAAACTGGTTTATAGCATTATGGGAAAATATATGTATTTCCATTTTTGTCTACCTTAAAATTCATTCTGTACAATGAATAATTTAAAAAATTCTAAGAGTATCTAAGTGTCTCTTTCCAATGTCATAAGTGGGTCTCATTTTTAATCTCTAAAAATAACTGTCTAGCTAGCAGACATTTTATCATAAAATAATCTCTATGAGGCATTTGTCAAAAGAAGGTGGATCTTGACATTTTATCTTTCTTCTCCCCTAGATACTGTTTTTTGGATTCGGTTGGCTTTTCTTCATGCGACAGTTGTTTAAGGACTATGAGGTGAGAAGAAACCATTTTATGCTTTAGTTTGTTTAGAATGGAACAAGAAAAATGGTTCCATGAAAAAAACCGAAAAAACCTTTCCGGGCAGTGGTGGTGCACGCCTTTGATCCCAGCACTCAGGAGGCAGGAGCAAGCTCCTCTGAGTTCGAGGCCTGCCTGGTCTATAGCGTAAGTTCCAGGACAGATAGGAATACACAGAGAAACCCTATCTTTAAAATCAAACAAAAAGATTGTGTTCACTTCCTCAGATAGAAAACCTGTGCCAGTCAAGAATGTGCAATTCTGAAACTACATACGATGACCAGGCTTCACTGATGACTCAGCTATCTTCTTACTAACTTACGTATCACAGTGTTTTGAGACTGGGCCTTGCTATGTATCTCAGGCTGGCCTGGGACTCCCTGTATAGCTCAGGCTGAGACTAGTAACTCATAAGCAATCCTCCTGCTTCAACCTCTTCAAGTGGTAGTGGGATTACAGGCATGTACCACCAGGCCCTACGAGTTTGGAGGATTTAAAACCAGAAACCACAACAAAACTAAGAATAAGGAAGACCATCATTTTGTCATTTGGGGGCCGTATACCCCAAAAGCAGATGCTTATTTTCAAGAGGAAATTTAATTTCTAATGCCTGGAACGTACCCTTTTAGTCCACAATTGCCAGCCTTCAAGTTTAAGTCAACACCCAAATCCCAAAGCTACTCTGTGTTTTGTTTGTTTGTTTGTTTGTTTGTTTGTTTTATTTTTAAGATCCTATGCTGGCCATTTTCTAATATAACTTCACTACTTAGTTATCTGGACACTTTGGAGGCATCTCTAAGATGTTCATTCGTAAGTCTCCTCTGTAGTTTTAGGAAGAGTTTGGAAGAGCCCAGGATCCTAGAGAATCTGTATATTCTAAGGCCTCTCAGGAAAGTTCTAGAGCCGATGTGAGCTCAACAGTGTCGAAGAACTGTTAACTTTAACCATGCGTGCAGACCTTTTTCCTTTCTGTCATTGACATCAGGCATCTAAATGCTGCTTGTGGCCCAGACATTTCATCCTTTGTGCTTTAAATTCCCCAACCGTGAGAAGATTCTGGTAAGAGGCGGCCATGATTCCTAAGTGCTGCCCACTTTGATTGTGTAACCCAGGTTTCTGCTTCAGACTACAGAATTCAACACAAGTTTTCAGACTTGCCGTTGGAAGATTGTGCATTCAGAATGTCAGGGAAGGAAATGACTGGCTTCGCATCTGACTTTAACAGGTGCGGCAGTACGTTGTGCAGGTGATCTTCTCCGTGACATTTGCATTCTCGTGCACCATGTTTGAGCTCATCATCTTCGAGATCCTGGGAGTTCTGAGCAGCAGGTGAGTGCCGGCCCGGCATCCTTTCCCCGGAAGTGTGAGGTGAGTGCCGGTCCGGCACCCTTTCCCCAGAAGTGTGGTGCCTCTCTTTCAGTACATGTGCCTCCTGGATGCCATGGTGGAAAGTAGCTACCATGCGGCTGTAGGTTAGTCTCAGGAGCTGCAGTGATCGCCAAAAATGGTTACCTAGTAACAGGTTCAGCGAGATGTCTCCAGGGGAAACTGCCCTGACCATTAGCTCTGCAGAACCCCCTGAGCGTGAGGCTATAGGAGTCCCTGTCCTGGGCTAGCAGCTCTCTGATTCTCAGACTCTGACCAAATGCTAGTCACACCCCCCAACTTGGCCGCCACTTGAAAAGATCAAAATTCCTCAGCTATTTAAGAACTTCAAGGAAGATTGATCTCCAGTTTGTCTATCTTACCCACCCCGGTTAATTTTACATGTAGTCGGGTGGATTGAACTGAGAATGGTTTTGAAAATGTCTTTCTAAAGTACCTCCTGGAGCTTGGTTATAGCCGTGACTCCCCTACTCTAGACTTGTTCCATAGTAATCCAAACCTTGTCTGGATGAGCTATGGAGGATGGACAAGTAATTTTTATGCTATTTGCTAGATTGCATTATCATAACATGGATATTTTACTCTCTTGGTAGAATTTAGCAAACTTTTCTGTGAAGGACTAGATAGTAAATATGTCAGACTTTGTAAGCTATAGGGTGTCTTCCATAACACTCAGATCTGCCCTTGTAAAGTAGAAGCGCTGTAAGTGGTACAGAAACAAACGAGTATAGTCCTGCCCCAGTGAAACCTCTTTGTGAAAGTTGCTAGGTGCAGGGTCCCTGGTTCGCTGACCATAGAGCTGAGCGGTAGTCATGGTTAGAGCACACTTGCTGTTTGTGGTGCATTGTATCCCCAAACTCACAACCCACGGTAATCCTTTCCCGTCAGAAACGGTCTGGCTTTAGTGCGCATTTCTCGCATTCCTCAGTTTACCTTAGAGCGCAGAAATGAGTGTCACTCAAGTCCAGTTCAGGTTCATTTTTCGGACGGGCTTTGTTTAGGCTGAAACATGTATGCACCTATATCTCTTTCTTCATGCCAACATTTGGCCCAGGTGTGGACAGAAATGTGGACCTTGATCACATGGTCTGTCTTGCATTCACTAGATTCGGAATAACTTTGAGAAGAGAATTTTGCCTCTGAATGAGTATTCCTTTGACATACCTCTAGGTAAGGATGTAGGCATCCTGTTCACATGCAGAGGATTGTTTGGATCCTTTTTTTTCAAGATCACTTTATTTCCTGTTCAAAAGACCAGCTAAAACATGTGACTGCTTTTCTTAAGTGTAACAGTGTTTTACCTGCATGCATGTTAAGTGTGCCATGTGTATGCCTGATACCTAGGTTAGGGGCATCAGATCCTCAGGCACTGGAGTTACCATGTGGGTGCTGGAAACTGAACCTGGGTCCTCTGCAAGAACTGACCTTTAATCGGCAGTACAAGTAACACTTGGACTCAGATCTCCCGCCTCCCGGCCTGCCCCAGAAGCCAGCTGAAGTACTGTGTAGACTGCCTAGAGGACGCGTGGCTCCTCTGCCTTTTTACATATTCTAGCTGGGTGGACTCAGAGAGCAGAAGCTGTCAGTGCAAACAAACACATCTGCACTAGGTGACTCTGGCTCCCTGTCGGCTCACTGCTACAGGCTTTTCATTCATGATGACTGCCATCTGTAATAAGGGGAAACGGTAAGGACAACCTTCCGTGACCCATAGAAGTTTCTTTGGGAAGAATATTGTTCAGGACATTGTTAAGTGCAATCCTATGAAATCTTAGGGGAAATCTAGTTATCTGGGTCATAAGTCAGTAATAATTATGACCAATTTGGTTTATTTTCTTATAGCCACTGATTTATCTGTTTGATTAAATCATCTATTTTATATAAATTATTAGACAATTTAGAGCTAATTTAGTGTCCCACCTATAGCAAGTTTGCAGAATTCTTACTTCATAACAGCCATCAGGACTAGCCCAGTGTTTTACCTGCCTTTACTATTGCCATTCATTTCTCCTGCTTCCTCAGTTTACGTACTTATTCTGTGTTTCCCACATCCTAGTAAGCTACCCACCATTTACCCGTGTGTGTGTGTGTGTGTGTGTGTGTGTGTGTGTGTGTGTATAACAGGGCCTGAGTGGAAGGACACTGTTGAAAATGAATAGCCTTCCCAAGAACAGGAGAGCAGTGTTTCAAGCCACCTGTCTAATTAGGATTTCTTTCTGAGACGTATAAAGTGATCTTATAATTCAGTAGTAAAGTAGCATAGATAAAAAAGTGAGTGTACAACAGTCGGAAAATATAGTTCCATGGTAGAGTAGCAGTACCTAGCATGCATGGGGCCCCAGGTTCAATCCCCAGTTCCATAAAAGGAACGAGGAGAACAAAGTATAGGAAGTAGACAAAAGGTCTGAATGGGCGTTTGTCCAAAGATAATAGAGATGGCAGTAAACACGTGGAAAGAGGGTCAGTGTCATTAACCATCAAAGACTTGCCAGTCAAAACCCCAGTGCTGGAGTACCTCCCACCAAGATGGCTAAAGACAGCCGCAAGTGGTGTTAGAGCCAAAGAGCGGGAACCATGTGCACTGATTTGGTGGCAGTGCCATTCCGTCGCCATGTGAAGAGAAATAAAACCATGGCCATGTTCCACCTAACACAAATGTTCACAGCGTCACAGTAATAGTTTAAAGTTAAAACAGCCAAATCTGTATTGACTGCTGAATTGATGAAGAAGGGGGGAATTTACTCAGCCAACAGAAGGGTGAAAATGACTGACAGATGCTATAGTGTGGATGAACCTTACAAACCCTATGCCAAGTGGACACAGCTAATCACCAAAACAGACCACATATGATAGGATTGAATAAAATAATTAAAGTCATGGCTACAGAGATCTGTGCATATACTAAAGACCTTTGGATTATACACTTCAGGTGGGTAAATTATTTATCAAAAAAAAGCTATTGTAAAAAATAAAAGTACTACCTTTTAAAATTTATTTTCTTTTTACTTATTTATTTTGAGAAAGGGTCTCACTGTATAGCCCTGGCTAGATTGGGACTTATTTAGACCAGGCTGACCTCAAACACATAAAGATCTACCTGCCTCTTCCTTCTGAGTACTAGGATTAAAGATGTGTGCTACTATGCCCTATATAAAATTTTTAATAGATAAAATTATTTTATAAATATTAACGAGAGTTGTGCATGTCAAATCTTTAGATCAAACTATGAAAGAGTTTGAGTCTTTGTTGCTCAGAATTGCTATTAACATATGTTTTCCTTCAATGATTTTTATTTAATTTTTATTACATTTATCTATTGGGGAGGGGCACATATAGGTCCCTGCATATATGTGGAAGTTGAACAACTTCAGGGGTCAATATTCTTTTTCTATCATGTGAGTCCCGGCAGCAAATGCCCTTATCCACTGAACCATCTCACCGGCCCTGTTTTGGTTTGGTTTTGAGACAGGGTGTCATGTAGCCCAGGACGACCTCACACTTACTATGTGATAAAGGCTGATTTTGTGTCTTCTTGCCTCTACTTCCCAAGTCCTGGAATTATAAGTGTGTAGGACTAAGCTTTCCTTTAATTCTGTCTGTACCAGGGTTTTTGGGGGGGCACCAACCAGCTCCCAAATCCTGACACAGACTTCTTATTAAGAATGAATACTTGGTCTAGCTTAGGTTCGTTTCTGGCTATCACTTTTAACTTAAATTAACCGTTTCTCTTTATCTACCTTTTACCGCAGGGATTTTTTTTCTACTTTTCTTTCCTTCTGTATATCTTGCTTTCAGTGCTTCTTGTGTCTGGCTGGCAGGTGTCTGCCTGGCTTCTTGCCCCAGCCATGTCTCTCTTTTTCTCCCTTGTTCTCTTCTCCTCCTCCTTCTCTCATTCTCTAGAGTCTTCCTATTTATTTTCTCTGCCTGCCAGCCCCACCTAGCCTTTCTCCTGGAAAAGGATTAACCATTGAAAGTAATTCAGCTTTTTATTAGACCAATCAAGTGCCTTAGGCAGGCAAGGTGAAACAAGTGTAACACATCTTTACATAGTTAAAATGATGTTCCACATCTATTATTGTTGTTGTTGCTGTTGTCGTTATTTGTTATTATTATCATTCTTGTTACATTTAGAATCTGTTATCCATATTACCTAGTATTAACATTCTTTTTAAGGTGAAAACCTCAGCTTAAGATGGTCATGTACTCTTCAGAAATTGTTTCTTGTTTTCTTGCAAGACAGGATTTCAATGATGTCAGCCAAGCTGGCCTTGAATTCACAGTTCCTCATCCTAAATTCTGAGATTATAAGCATAAACCACTGAGGAGGGGGAAGGTTTAAAATAGGGTATCTCTCTGTAACCCTAGCTGTCCTGGAACTCACTATGTGAGACCAGGCTAGCCTCAAACTCACAAAGACTCTCTTGCATCTGCCTCCCAAGTGCTGGGAGTACAGGCGCCCAGCTGTGTAACAGTCTAGTGGGATGAGTAGATTGAGTGTGTTCGGTGTGGGCTTCAAGAGCAGGGGCCTTTGGAACACTAACAGAATGAGACTTGCCGACCTGCCCTCCAAATAGCTTTAATGTTGATTTCAGCTCCCGTTACTTTCACTGGAAGATGAACCTGTGTGTGATTCTGCTCATCCTGGTCTTCATGGTCCCTTTCTACATTGGTTATTTTATCGTGAGTAACATCCAACTTTGTGAGTATTTTGCCTCCTTACGTCAGCACCTAGACTGGGATGCATGCTTTTGGGAGTAGATCACAGACAGCTTCACTTCTCTATTTTTATACTGATGTCTGGGGACACCCAGCATCCTAAAGCAGTCATAAAATGAGTTCTGTCTGAAAAAATAGATTGTGTCTCCTGCCACAGATTAATTTCTGCTTCTGCTATGATGTTTCCTTCAATTCATCCACACTGTAATTTTAGCAACATTTTTCTAATGAGGGGGAGGGTCTGGGGGAGTTGGGGAAGGAAAAAGAATATGACCAATATATGAAATCTTCAAAGAATAAATGAAAGCAGTATTTTAAAAAACTGAGTAAGAGAAATTCTTAACTAAAATATAAAATGTTCTAATTACACACAAAGATTTCCTAATGGTGGTAAGAATGCTTTTGAAAAGAATTGTGTAGTGCCAATATTTACATATTAATTACATGTGTGATGAGCTGTGTAGTAGCTGTAGTAGCTGCCTCCTGACAGCCCCGCTCCATCCCAGTGCACAAGCAGCGCCTGCTCTTCTCCTGCCTCCTATGGCTGACCTTCATGTACTTCTTCTGGAAGCTGGGCGATCCATTTCCCATACTCAGCCCAAAACATGGTAAGTACAGTGGGAAGCGTGGCTGTTCCATCTTCTAATTAAAAATGAAAAATAACCCTTCAAACTTTGATTGTGGGAAATACAGCAAGATATTTCTCTCGAAAGTATTTGACTTCAAAATAAAATTCTTCCTTCTTTCCAAGGGCATCGAATGCTAGTTCGGCTGCATAGGAATTATAGAGCATGCATGATTGCCAGTCAACTTTCTGTTACTGTAGCAAGAATTAATTAGCTTAAAACAAGAAAGATATTGTGACTCACAGCATTGGAGGTTTCCATCAGTGGGCACTTGGCCCGTTGGGTCTATTACAAAAAAGTGCATTATAGTGGGAGCATGTGGCACTGAGAAATACAGGAAAGGAAGAGGGGTGCCTGGGTGTCACTGTTCTCTTCAAGAGCATGCCTTTCTGATAGACCCTTATTTTCTTTTTCTTGACACTTGTGGGTGGGCTTGCACATGCCAAGATAGTCATGTGGAGGTCAGTGGACATCTCTCAAGAGTCAGTTCTCTTCTACCACGTGGATCCCAGAGATCAAACTCAGGTCATTAGCCCTGGCAGCAAGTGCTCTTACCCACTGAGCCAGCACAGAGCCTCTGCCCAGCCGCTCACCAGCCCCACACTGTTCATATCCACATGGGCATGCCAGTTTGGTGAAACCTACAAACATTTGAGCCTTAGTTTCAAGAAAGTCTGGGAATGCAAGAGCTTTGGGCTTCCCAGATCCTAGTACAGGAGGAAAAGCTGGAAAAGGATTGGAGTGGATGCCGAGTGCAACAGAGTCTGCAGTCCGCACACCTCCCAACATCCTTCCCTGTGTTCACATGACCTGGTAGCTTGGATTTGGGGAAGAAAAGTTTTCCTTCATTTGGGTCAGAGGAAACACATAGTTTCTAAAAGCACATAGCCATTCAGCGAGATGGCTCAGAAGTCAAAGGCATCGGCTGTCAAGCCTATGACCCGAGTTCCATCTCTGGGATCTACATGGTGGAAGGAGATCACTATCTGCCACATACACTCTAACCATGTGTGTGCTGTGGTCGGGTGCATGCAAACAAAGCAAATTAATAAAGTAATAAAAAACAGTTTTAACAGAAGCACATTCTGCATAACTAATTATATTTAAACATAAATAGCAATATTTGTTGCAGCATTTCAAATAATAAACACAGGCAAAGTTCAGCAGCCTATCATTAATAGTTAAAAATAATGCTTGTCAGCTGGAGAGCTGGCTCAGTGGTTAGAAGCACTTACTGCTCCTGCGGAGGACCTGGGTTTGGTTCCCAGCACCCATGTGGTGATTCACAACCGTCTGGAACTCCAGTTGCAGGGGATCAGTGCTCTTCTGACCTCTGCAGGCAGCAGGTATACTCGTAGGCAAAACACTCATATGCATAATAAATGAATCTAAAACACAAGTTGTACTAGGCTTGTATTAGCTACACATACATGCTGGTTGATATTTAAGTAATGTTAGCTTTCGTGGTGCAGGTGAAAGCCACACCGTGTGTATTGCCTGGCCTTGATGTGTTTGGATGTTTTTAGGGATCTTGTCCATAGAACAGCTCATCAGCCGGGTGGGCGTGATCGGGGTGACGCTCATGGCTCTGCTGTCCGGATTTGGTGCTGTCAACTGCCCGTACACATACATGTCCTACTTCCTTAGGTAATGCATACTTCATTTCTTTCCTGTTTCATTGTTACTGGAACATATTCGTCATGCCATATCTTTAATATTCACATATTAGATCTAGGACTGCTTTTTTATTCTTCCTCTGTGTCCATGGGTGTTTATCGGACACCTTCCTAACAAGTCTTTTCTCATTTCTTTGGAAACAGCAACTCCGCAAGTAGCCTAAGTTGGCATTAAGTTAGAGTCTCTGACCTCAAGCCCCAGACACTAGAATTACAGGCATGTGCCACCATATCCAACTGCTTTATTTTTTAAGTGGCAAATTTCATGCCCGTGTGCCATGCTATTTAAATGCATGTTTCCAGTGGGCAACAGTGTGAACTTCTTCCAACTTCCCTAAATTCGTTCCTCCTTAACATTGAATAGTAGAAAACATTGCCAATTTAAACATATTTTAAAATATTTTATGTATATAAGTTCCTGTGTATTTGCATGTGCATTATGTGTGCGCCTGGTGCCCACAGAGCCTTAGCTGCCGCTCCGGAACTGAGTTACAGACATGGGAGCCGCCACGGAGAGGACAGGAACTGGCCGCTCTGCAGGAGTGACCCTACTCTTATTTTTTTTTTTTGACCCCTCAAGTTTGTTTGTTTGTTTTCAGGTTTTGTTTTGGTTTTTTATTGTTTTTCTTTTCAAGACATAGCTTCTCTGTGTAGCCCTGGCCGCCCTGGAACTCACTCTGTAGACCAGGCTGGCCTTGCACTCACAGAGATCTGCCTGCCTGTTTCCCAAGTGCTGGAATTAAAGATGTGCACCACTGCCTGCCCAGTACTCTTAACCCCAAGTCAGCTTTCTAGCCACTAAACATTTTAAATATGTCTGGGTCAAAGCTAAGAAAGACTGAGGCTCAGAGTACCCTCTACTGCTTAGGACGACAGAAAACTTACCTGTAAGAAGGAGTAGTACAAGCATTTTAGCCTAATGGAGTCATTTTAACATTTTCCGGAAGCGGGTCCTTGAATTGCTGAGTAGCAATTGAGGTTTATGATTCGCCAGATGGTTTGCATGACGCCCATGGATGGGACCCCAAAACCTGACTGTTTTTGCTCATTGCAGGAACGTGACTGACACGGATATCCTGGCCCTGGAACGGCGGCTGTTGCAGACCATGGACATGATCATAAGCAAAAAGAAAAGGTGAGGCCAGCACGCTGTGCTCACGTAGAGAGTGGAGGCGCCTTCTTACTGTCTCCACCGCAGGGCTGTGCTCGCTGTAGAGAACCTAGGCGCCTTCTTACTGTCTCCACC